CAGCCCCCATTTAAGAAACTGTTCTCAGAGGAAGTCCCCACAGAGCCACCAAGAGAGATTGTCCTGCTGTTGGCTATTTTGGTCCAAACGCCCTGGAATTGATAAGCTGGACCAAAATAACCCAGGGAACAACTGTTGGACAACAGGCCCCCGGAGACCCTGCCCTGGTCCTGCTGTGCATTGGTGGAGGCTCAGATTCTGAAACCACAAAGCTAAGCCCCAGCCTTTTTCCAAAGGTACATGGAGTCTCGATGTCTTCCCACGGATCAAAAACCTGAGCCTCTGGAACGGAGCCAGCAGCTCAACAGAGGGCGAGTTTGCAGGAGCCTGGGGAGGCCTCTCCCCTTGTTTCCACTCCAGGCCTCACCTCCGGTGGCTCCTGTCTATGTCCCCACTCTCCTAGGGTCTCCAGTTTGCTTTTGTCATTCCCGGCTGCAGGGGCTCAGCCCCTACTCTGGTCTTATCCCCTTGAAGAGGCAGGTGCTGGAGGAATAGTCTGAATCCCTCCCGGAGTCAGTGAGGGTGCCCAGGATGCATGTGTGATGCATTAAGGCGATGTCAGACCAAGTGCAGGCAGGTGGGAGAATAAACAGATCACACCTGTTTGCTGCAACTCTCCAGAAACCGACCTGTTACGTCCTCCACCTCTCCAGTCTCAGGCTTGGTTATGGCTGCTCACTCCAGTATTAGGGGAGCCTATTTATTACGGGGCGAGGTCTCCGCCTCATTGCGTTTGGTGGGGCTGCTGTCCTGCACGTGCGCGCTCATGTGCCTGTGTGTCCGAGTGGGCACCAGCCCTCCCTTCCCAGTGGTCTGGTTGGCTGGAGTCAGGCCCGTGGACCTGGCCCTCCCACGAGCCACAGCCCACTCAGTGTCTCTGGGGAAGTATTTCACAGCCCGGGGGTCCTGGGCCCCTTGAAGATAAACTCTTTTCAGGATTTTAAAAGATCTGGTGGAAACTGGGTCTAAAGGGGGTCACCCAGAGTAAATGCTGCCATTCTGGACAATGAACTCATTGTAGCCCTAGTTCTTTTGTATTGAGCGAAAACTGGCACTCATGGGTGACTTAGATTAATGAAGGCAGAGATGAATTTCTACTTGATAAATGCAGAGCATTTAGCAAGGCCTTGCAAACGGGGGGATGCACGGAAGTAGAATAATGAAGGAGGTCCCTGATGATAAAACTGTGGAGAAATACCACTCTTGACCTTGACTTCCCCATCTTGAAACTAGAGAGATGTCTTCCTCCTCACACATCGGCATGAGGTGCACGTGGGGGGAAGAGTGGCAAGGAATAGGGTCTGAAAAATGTTTGGAACACACTGCATATAAAAGTGGCCATACGTCTTGCTAGGGCAGGAACTCCTTGCTTTAGATGTCCCTCAAAGTTCCTTGAATCCGAATCTAAGCATTTTTTCATCAATATCAGCAAGACCAGACACGGCTGAGGTTTGTGGGGAGCAGGGAGTAACCCATATTCCAGGACTCCCATCCCTTGGAAAAGTGCAAGCTTTGCCACCTCTGATTTTCCCCCAGCAAGGAAAGCATAGCTGTGACCTCGGCAAGGTCACACCGTGAGTCAGTGATAGCTGCTGGAAATAGTACACAGGCATCCTGACTCCCCAGCTGCTCCGCTCACCCTGCTCCCCGCCCCCCCCTGCCCCGGAAGGGGGACTCTTAGAGCTTGAGGAGAAACATTGCAGGTGACGTAGATCTTCAGAGACTCAGCCTGTCAGCTCCCTTTCTGTATTTATTCTCACTTTGTGATCCCTGATCAAGAGGCTCGGAACAAGGGTGTGGCAAATACCCAAGGTATCCTGATATTTTCACAGGTGACGTCATGCCTTTCCCAGCTGGCCAAGCCAAATGCTCACCCCTGCTCTGTGCTCCCCCAGCTGCAGAGTACTTCTTGTCTTGTAAGTGTCCCCTGTCTGATTCCCCATGAGGCCCTGGGGACCTATGTTGACAGCAGTCCCCAGGAAATCTCCCGTTTGTGGGTCCTGGTCTCTAAGCAAAAACAATCCAGTAATGAGATTTTCTTCTTTGGTTGCCAGATTGATGTCTAATTTAGCCAACATTCTAGACCCTAAATTGTAAACAGGATGATGAGTATGGTATGTGCAGGAGTATGAATTTAGGTGTAGATGCTGGGTTTGGATGAGACTGTGGCTGGTGCTTGGTGACGTCATTTGGGTTACTCTTGCAATCAGCACCTGGCTGACCTGGTACGAGGCATGAGGACACTCCATGGGTCCCAGGAAAGAAGATGCACTCTGGACCTTTGCCTGGACCAGCCTGACCTGATGGACGCTGCTCTCTGCTGCACAGTCACTGCTGTGTCTGTCCCTTTACCCAACAACTGGCCCAACCCTAAGCTCCTCCAGGGTCCCACTCGCTGCACTTTCTGGCTGCCACCACCAGGGGGCACTGTCTCCTGCCTCCGTGGGTGAGAGGTGGGATTATACCCAGGGTAGCAAGCAGCCCATCTCCTGGTACTAGGACTAGTGGTGGTGAGAGCGGCAGTAAAACATGCTTCTGCTTTGCTTCTCTCTGGTAAGCCTGAATCCCCTTTTCAGAATAAAAGCTCTTGCTCCTAGTTTCACCCCTGGAACCAGGGGATGAATCTTGGACCAGACTGGATGGGAGGCAGGGCTGTGGTAATGGTTAGGGACAAGAGCTTGGAGCCAGACAGACCTGGGTGAAGCCCTGCCTCTCCCCTTCACCGGCTCTGTCACCTTGGGCGAGTCACTTCCCTCAGCCTCAGTTTTCCCACCTGTGAAATGGGATATCCTAGTGCCTGCTCCACTGGGTTGTTCTGGTGATCAAATGAGGTATCTATGAAGTGTTTAGCAGCGAGACTGACACAAAAAATAGTAGCCACATAATTATCAATTTCTCTCGCTTTTCACCTGTAGTAGGTAAAGCTTTCATGGAGGTGGTATTCTTCAGGTAAAGAATTTAAGTGTTCATCTCTCTGGAATTTATTCGTTACGGGTACCCCGATGCTCTAGGTGGGGTCAAGTTAACTCTCCCTGCCCCCATATTCCCCACTCTAACTGTGCCCGCCCTGAGACAGACACAGACACACACCCCTTAGCTCTCTCCAGCTCTGGCTGACTTTGTGGGCACAGTTATAGGTGAGTACCCCCTCCCCCTCACCGGCCCCCAGTGTGCTGGCTTGGTTGGTCTGAGCGTGGGCAGGCTATTGTGACTGAGGACATGGGGTCAGTTCCTCAGCCCGGCTCAAGGAGACATCTGTTCTCTGCTCACGGCCGGTCCTCCTAATGCTGGCCAGCCATCCAGCAAATGTGTGACCTTCATAAGGGCTGGAGGAGGACGGGGGTAGTGCCACCCTGTCTCTCCCAGGAGGAGAAAAACACAGCACACGTCCTGAGAGTCAAAGGTACCGTCATCCCAGGCAGGAGGCACGTGTCACAGCAAGCTCAGACGCCATCCTGCTTCGCTGGCCCCCACCTCCTATCCACTGGCAAGGCCCCTGGGCTCTCCCTCTCTGCCTCTCCACTGTTACGCCCTTAGTCCCAACTGGCAGCATCTTTTACAGAAGTCCCCACTGGCCTTCCTGCATCCAGTCTTGCCCAACCCCCACTCACACTCTGGGGGCTCAGGAAAGCCAAAGTGATCCTTTGAAAATATACATCAGGTCACATCGCCTCCCTGCTCCGGTGGCTGCCTGTGTGTGGCAGGGAGATGCCCAAGATGACCTTCAGTGGCCCCGTCCCCACCTGATGGTATTCCTTTATGGGGACTGGAATGTGTCCACTGTGATGGATGCTGTCTCTGCGACTGGGTTACCAAACACGGTGACTTCCATGTGCCATCAGACGCGCGCGCGCTCTCGCCTCCTTGGCTGGCGTGCTTCGATGCAGCAAGCTGCCGCGATGACGAGGCCCACGTGCGAGGAGCTGAGGATGGCCTCAGATCCACGGCCCTTCACCCAGGGCTGTTGTGAGAACTGAATTCTCCCAACAACCACGTGGGCTTGAAACGGAGCCTTCCCAGTCGAACCTTGAGATGACCACAGCCCAGCCAATGTCTTGACTGCGGCCCGTGAGAGCCCCAGGAGTGGAGGACACAGTGAAGGCTTGCCCAGATTCCCGGCCTCAGAAGCTGTGAGATAAGAAATGGGTTTTGTTTCAAACTGCTAGATTTTGGGGGTAATTTGTTACACAGCAATGCCTAGCTAATACACTGCAGCACTTGGAATAGAATCCTACCAGATTCTGAGTGGTCTGGCCAGACGTGCCTCTCCCATCCCATTCTGGAGCATTTATCACCACCTGACATTACCTAGATTGTTAGTTCATGTATTCACTCTACCTTCTGCCACTAAAATAAAACTCTTAACGAAGGCCATTATGTTGTCCCAGTTCCTAAAATCAGCCCTAGAAGAGAATAGACACTCGAGAAATGTTTACTTAATTAACTAAGTGCTACCTACGAATGATGCTTCTCAACTAGGCTACCAGTTTTTCCATAGCTGCCG